TAATAATAATAATAATAATAATAATAATAATAATAATAATAATAATAATAATAATAATAAATATTGTATTTGCAAAATATCAATACGTAAAATTTATATAATGATGCAATGTTTAAACTTAATGATATTATATTTCTAACATTATTATAGAAAACTGTATATAAAGTTTTGTATGTACTAATAAAATAATATAATATAGATAAAATAACATAAACATAATATATACAATAACAAATTTTTAGATTGTTTTTAAATGAATGTTTTATATTTTCACTATATTTTACAATGAATCAATATTTTTGAACAGTGCTATTAAAAATATAGCCAGATAAATGGTTTTACAGTTTTCAATTTTTTTAAAATTTTTTAATTTGCATATTAGAAATTTATTGAATTTATGAATCATTAAATTTATGGAATTAATTATTTTTAAAATTGTATCATATAAAAAATTAATTGAACATTTTATACTTTATATTTTGTTTAATAAAAAAATGCAGATCATTTAATTATTTTAATTTATCTCATTATATTGTTCGTATGTAATTAGAAACAATATATAATAAATAAATATTGAAAATTGCATGAAAAATGTTAGTTATAATTATAATAGAGTCATACGATGATTATACAACGTGTCTTTACAAAGTTCATTATAATTATGTTATAAGGGAAAAATTAGTGCAACGCAGTGGAACACGACACGATATGATATGATGTACAGAGTACTAATATTATACATGTTATGCGCTGTCGCAGTCGGAATAAGCCGAGTAAAACCGAAAGAGAAAGAAAAGAAGTATGAGCATTACTATATCGTGTACGATAGTACCCAATTAATACTAAGTACGAATTGAATAATTGTTCGAAATGTTTAAAAAAATATATTTCTAACATAAATATTATATAAATATCTATCATAAATATGTATAATTAAGAAATAAATAAAAAAAGGAAAAAAGAAAACAAAAAAGATAGTTTATTTGAGATTATACGAATCATACATAACGAATTCACGGCTACGAGTCATTCATCTAGTCTCGTTTCCGAATCGATTTCTCTACGTTTAATACGTTCGTGTCGCTAACAATCTTCAACTGTCGAATTATGGGCTCAGTCGTTTTAAAATCTCTTTCAGTTCTTCTTGGGATATTCTTCGTTTTCGTTGGTACTATGAAATTGACTTCTCATATTAGTAAGGATCTGCACAAGGATTTGGTGAGCATTTGCTCTATAATTATGTAACATAATTTATCCTTTTAATTTTACAATTTATATTCAATTGAAATTTTTATTTTCATCTAATATAAATTTTTATTTTGTTTTTAAATTATTTTTCTTTGCTATATCTATCTTCAGTAATCATAAAACATTTTTATTTTTATCTTTTTCTCTGTAATATGCATTAGCTTGTATATAATACGCATCATCTATTAACTATTATGACATTACATTATTATGACAATTTGTCAATTTTAATAATCGATCTTTTTGGATTCCTTAATCATATTTGTTCATTATTTTTTTGTAGAAACGATGATTTTTTCAATAAAAAGTATTTCATTTTCTCTTTACACATCCAAAAAAATTGTTTTTGTTTTTACAATCTTTGTTTACCAAATAAAAAAAATATATGTTGATATATATTTTATACATGTGTTTGTATGCATAATTTTTTTTATAGTTATAAATATCTCATTTTTTTTTATATTGTTATCTTGAAAATAATTTTAAAAAATTTTAAAAATATATAATAAAAATTATAAAAAAAAATTAAAAACCTAAAAACTAAATAAAAAAAATAAAAAAAATAACAATTTATATATATTATCTATATTTTTAAATACAGTATTTGAAAATATATAAATAAATAAAATTTATGGTAATTTTTAAGATTGAAAAATAAAATTTTAGATTTTATTAAAACAATCAAATTATTATTATTAATTTTTGTTTGCTCGAGATTTTTCTAAAAATAAGGTTTTTATTTAAAACCTTATAAAAACCTTATTATAAAAAAGAGATAAATTGATTCAAATTTTTTTTAAATTTATAAAAAGTTTAATTTTTTCATTTCGATAGATCTCGTCAGAAGATTATTTTCGGTTCTTGCTGTTACTTAATATTTAAAGTTATAGTAAACTATCAACTAACTAATTGGTGAAGCGCCAAAAATATTGCAAGTGCCAACCTATAATGTTTATCAAATTGAAATTGTCACAATTTTCTTTATATAAATATCTTATATATATGTTTATCCCTCCGCCTCTCTCCATATTTCATCAAATGTTTATTAGCGAATTGTACTATTATATTTCCAGAGGAAAGAATATGTGAAATATGCAAAGGTATTTCCACTATCTGGTACACTGGATTTTAAAGTACCAAGTAAATGGTATAGAAGAGTTGTTGGATCATTGGAAATTATTTGCGGACTCGCAATGGCCATAGTTCCAAGCCGTAAGTTTTTTCGTTAAGTTAGAATAAATTTTTTTTTAAAAACATTATTTTATTACATTATATTATTTTTTCTAGATAAAATAAAAAATGCATCAAATACAGTATTATTATTATTAATGTTAATGGCTGTATATTCACATTATATGGTAAATGATAAATTTGAAAGGATTGCACCAGCATTGGTAAAATTAAATTAAAATTTGTAAAGAAAATATATATTAAACAAAAAAAATTTCTTTAAATAGATTTACTTCTTTTTAGGTGTTCTTTTTTATGCTAACAGGCCGATTAGTAATAGATTGGCAACTTAGACGAGAAGATACACAACCAGTAACAGCTAATGGTGTAGATGATAAAACTAAGAAACAAGATTGAATTTGGAATTCTTATACATATTCATGAGACTAAAACTTTCATTTGATTATCATATTAATTATCACCTGCAATGTATCATGTAGGTAATAGTTTCTTAAAGGAATTCTTATTATGCACAACAAATAAATTACTCATTTGATTTTTGATTCCTTATTTATGATAATCATGTAAAATATGATCTTTTAAATTTATATGTTAATTTTATTCAGAATTTATATTAAATTGCTCTTTCAACAATAGTATTTAAATTTAAATCTAAAGGAAATAGAAATCTTGAAAATTTCAAAAAATATAAATATTTATTATTATTACAATATAATTTAATCAATGAAACATAAAGTATTAGCTCAAACACAAGGTATTAACTGCCATTTGAATTAATGTGTTCTTCTTGATATCATATTGAGATTAAATGTTTTTATGTGTAAACATTGCATTATAGCGCACACGCGTGCTTTCTTCATATTTATATTTTTATTTATTTAATTATTTTTTTATTTTTAAAGAAGAAAACACGCGTCTTTAAAATTCGAATGAAAATGTACAAATTTAAAATTCGTACAAATGTATAAATATATTATTATAGTTGAAATGAAAATTATAAAGAAGACTAGTTTGTTTTTAGTTTAAAGTTCAAAACATTTTATTAATATAATGGAATATATTATAATGGACTAATTGATTCTAGAATCTCGTTTGTTATAGCATATTTTGAACTGTAAATACATATTTATTTTAAACTATATTCCAAAGTTGCTATTCAATATAATGATTTAAATAAAAAAAGTTTAATATAAGATAAATACAAGATAAAAAACATAAGTACAAATATAAATATAAATTGTATTTTCCTATGTTCATTATAGCATATTCCACTGTATTAGGAGAAAAAACGTTATTACTGTAAAACGTTAATTAATTGTATATTTATTTTTCAAATGTTAAATTTATAATCAATGGAATAAATTAAATAATATATCTATAAAATAAAGCAAAAATAAAAATAGCGAAAAAATAAGTGTAAAGTTAACATATATAATGATATATTTGTTGCAAAATATTAAGGTATCTAACTACATAAAAGAACATTTTAAAAATCATTTAATAATTGCGCGCGCACGTGCATACAAAACTAAGCTTACACGTTCAAATAGAAAAAGAAAAATTAATTATAATTTTCACTTTTTTTGAAATTTATATTTTTAACTATTTTTTTTATTTGAAAACAGAACCAAAATTATTAATTAACTTATTTAAGATTCATTAATACATGACATATCATTTATTTTGCACTATTAAAATTTTTGATATATATTTGTGAACTTTCACATTAATCATTGTAATAATAGGTTTAAATATTAACGCCAATTTTATATACCTACAAATTAAATATATATTTCAAAAATATCTTTAATTCAGTATAACTGTAATAATGTAAACAGTTAAAATAAATAATTTATCATTTTTATCATTTTTACTTATTAATTAAATCATATTATTTATATTCACAAGCAATAAAAATTAATTAATTGTTATTATTAAGTGAAATAACAATATTTTCAATCTTAATTTTGATTATGTGAGTTCTTGACCAGTAGTTAAAAGATGTAAAGCTTTTCGAAGATTTAACACAGCTGTAGGCACATCATCATAATTTAAAGCACTTCCAGACCATTTAATAAATTTTTGTGCCTTGTTTATTTGTTCCACTGATAATTCGATTCCACCTATGATGTATGTATAATTAATGCAAACATATAATAATATATATATTTGAATTATTTTTTTCCAATATACCTTCTGTTTTTGTAACTATATTACAATCTTTATTTTCAGAAGACCATTCTTCTATATTTTCTTCACTAGTCTTACTATATATTCTATCAGATGGATTAGTATTACCAATAACAATTAAATCTTCTGTATTTAAAGTATCTTCTTCTTTTGTTTCTGTTGCAGAATCTATTTTAAGCAAATTTAAATAAAATAAAATTTTGTTCTTATAATATATAAAACATAATTATAATTTTTATTATCATACAACAGTAGACACAACTATATTTTTAAAATTATTAAAGATAGAAAAAATAATAGATAATGAAATTATTATACAAAAAATAATATTAAATAGTTAATATCATTATTTAATATATTAATTATATTATTATAACATTTTTAAAATAATCAAAGAATTGATTTATGTAAGAAAAATTAAATGATTCTACTTAAAAAAAAATTTTTTTTTAAACTTTTAATTAATTTCAAATTTAAAAAGTTATAATTTTTAAATTCATTAAATATAAGAATACATAAAAATTATATAAAAATAAAAAATATTTTTTTTATTTCTAATAATTTTTTTTATATTCTTGATCATTGTAGTGAAACAGATAAAATATTTACTTTAAAATTAACTTACAAATATCAATTTAAAATTTTTATGTATCAAATAGTTTAAAGAAATATTTATTATTATATATATTATATAAGTATTATTATATTATATAAATTATTATGTAAGTTTAAAGGAAATATTTTAAATTATAAAATATTATAGAATTAATTTAGTAAAGATGAAAATAATATCATATTTGTTTCTTTTACATATTCAGAAAAATATCGAACCTAATTGAACCTAATAACATTTTATTAATTAAAGATAAATAAAAATAAATATTTGTCTAATTTATTATGAATTCATACTTATTATAAAAACAAAGTTGATTCATTTATTAATATTTAAAAACCCTAACAATAAAATTCAAATTACTTTACAATAGAATATTTAAAATAGAAACACAAAACAAAACATTCTTTTAATATCTTTCAGTACTTATATGAAGCATTTCTTATATTATATATTTTAATAATAATTTAATACTTTCTAGGTAGGCATTCTATTTTTACACATGTAGTAAGTAATTGTATGTGAATCAATTTTATTTATGAATATTTTATGAATTTGAAGGTTAATTTTATAAATAAAAAATTAATTAATATATAATAAATAATATATAATATAATAAATTTTTATAAAAATAAAAAAAAATTTATTATATTCAAGATTATGATAATAATTTTCTTCTTATAAAATATTAAGTCCACATAATAAAAAAAGATGTTTTAAATATTATTATATATAGATATAATATTATTAAATTCGATAATATTTTTTCTAATATTGAAAAATTAATATTCAATTAAAAAAAAATAGGGATGACACTTTTTATCTTTACGAAATTCATTCTTCTAATATTTTATAATCTAAAACAGACCTGACTAAATTCTTCTCCTCTGCGAGACATATGATTTTATTTAGCCAATCTTTTTCTATTGCTTTTTCTCATGCTCCATAATTCCCATTCTTAATTAATTGATTCTTCTATCATGAACATAATCATCATTACATGCATAATTGATGAAACAAAACATATATATAAAATATGATTAAAATATTATATAATATCTGCTAATGATAGAGCTTGTGTGATTCTTTTATGATTCTTTTGAATAAGAAAAAAAGAAAGGCACAAGCCATAGCTTATGAACCATTAATTGTTCAGACCTGATCTAAAATATTATAATTATTTATAAAAAAAAATGTTCTCCTCTCTGATTTTAATGACTTTAAATATGTTATCAAGCTCAACATTCTGAATAATTTTTTTTTATATGTGTTATATTATTGCTTAGTTCAAAATATTCATAAAAAAAATTATCAGTAGTTATAATAAAATCTGTCTATAATTGTAATAACATATGTCTTAGTATTGGTTGCTACTATAATAAACTAGTGACTAAAAAGTGGCTAAATATAATAAACTAATTCAAATCTCACTTTTTATTTATAATATTTATAAATGAGGATCAATAAATTCCTTAAATGAAAACTCAGTGTACATTACATATAATAAATCTATATTAGATTTAGATTTGAGTTAGTATTATCAAATCAAATCAAATCTACTCTAATTTAAATTAATTTAAATTAATCTTAATTTTAAATAAATTTTTAATAAATACCATAAACATTAAAAATATTATATATAGTATTTTTATTTATAATTCAAAAATAATGTATAACATGTAGAAAAAAGTTGTTCAGAATTATGTCCATATTTCAAAGTCAGGAGAAATTTTCCTTGATAAGGAGAAGTCTTTTGTAAATAATTAGCAATATTATAATGTTAATATGTGTAATGATTTTGTGAGAAAATAGCTTGTAATATTTTATCTGTCCCATCCATTATATAATAGATATAATATATATTAATATGGAATATAATATACTATTATATAAAATGGATTTAGCATATTTTTGTACATCATACAATATGTTAAAAAATGTTATTCATAAGACATCTTTAGAGAATTGATATTCAAAAACTAAAATAAATACAATATATAAAAATATCGATTAAGATTTATTTATTAATTTATAGATGAAATAAGATGGAAATAGAAGCCACTTTGTCTTTTTTATATCATATATCATATTCTTGTTTTATTTGAGCTTTAAATAAGCTAACATTTTTGTACAGCAATTTTTGTGTTTATTTTGGTCTCTAGAATCAATTTTCTAAAGATGATTTATGAATATATTAATTATTCTTGCAAAAAAAGGACCAGCGTAATGATATAACAATATAGTTCCAGTTGCATGATATATGTATATACATATATATATATACGTATATGATAAATAACCAAAGAAAAATTAGTTTCACCTTGAATTTGCCGATATGTTGTTTTAATTAGTCCAGAATTGAAACTTTAAAAACTTTTAATTGTCATTCATTATTCCTTACAAAATTATTCGTTTTATTATTTGTGATAAATATAAAAAAAAACAATCTTAGAAAAAACAAGTTATCATAAAAGCATTCATATATATATACAATAAAATTCACAAGAATATAAAAATATATATATAGAATATAAGAAATGAATATGAAATAATATAAACATTATAGGAAATGTATAAACATATTAGGAAAAAGTATAAACATATTCAAATATAAATATAAAATATTCAAGTATAAATATAAAACAATATAAACAATAGTTTTGTATTCACTTATATATGATATAAAAAAACATAGTATATATTGCTATTAAAAATTTAGTCCAACTTAATATTAATTTCATGGAAGAACAAAAAGTCCAATTTTCAATCAAAAATAACTTTTTAAGGAATAATAAGGCAAATAAAATTCTTCTTAAATTTAGAAGATGTTATTTTTAACAACATATATCGATGTTAGAATTGATTTTTAATCAATTTTATCAATTTTTTTTTTTTTTTTAATAGCATGTCTATAATATATATGACTATTTAAATATATTATTAAGTTTAATTTTTATTACCTTCTTCCATATTTTTATTAAAATTTGTTTTTTCATTATTCTCTTGTATGGGTCCTGGTAGAGGTGTTTCATTATTTTTTAAACAATTATGAATATATGCTGCTTTCCATTTAGCATATTTTCTATTTTGTATAGCTTCTTCACTCAATTCTCCAAAAACAGTTAATACATCATAAAGTAATCCAGCTGTAAAAAAACTATGTACTAAATTTTTTCCAAAATTAGCTGCTCTATCATTTTTATCTGCATAGAGAAAAAGTTTCAATGCCCAATTTTCTAAATGTGCCTGAGCAGCTATATCATTTGTAATAGCTTCATTATCATATAATTCTTTTTTAGTTGTTTCTAACCAATCCATTAATTTCATTAAAAAGTTTGTTTCCTTTGGTGATTTGGTTGATAACTTTAGTCCTGTTTGAAGAGCATATAATCGACCTATAATAAAAATTAATAATTTAAAATTGATAATTTTAAAAAAAATTAACTGTAATAATTTTTCTTTCTATAATAATATAAAAAGCAAATTCATACACCAATAACTAATAACAGGATCTCGTTGATCATGCGTTGATGCTATTTTTAGATAATGTTGTATACTTTTTAAAGATAATGGTATTTCTGGTAAATCTAGGTTAACCATGTTGAATAATAGATTTAATTAAATTGTTTTTTATTTTTTTCTTGTTTTACTCTTTATTTTTTATTTTACAATCTCTTTTATAAGGATTGCATCTTTTCTGTAAAATATTTATAATTTATGACAAATTAAAATTAACTTTATTACCTGTTTTATAATTCAAGAAAAAAAAATGTTAGTGAATCAATACAATGTTCATAATAATCATGCAAGTTCATTTAATAATAAAATACTTGCAAAATGTTTTTGAGAATTGTTTTATTTATTGATAAACATTGTATTGCAATGATTATTTGAATAATCACAAAGAAATATTCTTGACTGAAATAATAAATTAAAATAATTAAAATAATTTAATTGAATTTGATACATATTTGTAATCGTTTATGTAAAAAATTAATAATATAATAATAATTTTAAATTAATTTGAAATTAATTTATTCCATAATTCTATAAAAACTAATAAATAATAATTTTCCACAAATTATATTATAAAAATTTATTGAATTTGGAGGTTCGAAAAATATTCTTAATTGTAATTGATACGAATTATAATAACATGAAAGAATGCAAATTGACATTCAATATATTTTTACCAATATATTAAATTAATTTTCAACTTATCGTATTATCTCTATTAAAAGAAATTCTTTGAATAAATCAGAAGTTCTTCAAATAATTGATTGTCAATGAAAGAAAAATAAATATATTATCAAAATCATAAGGACATGTACATAAGTTACATATATAATATAGTATATATAATATAATATAATTTACTTTATGTAAACTATAATGTTGGCAATATCATTTTTGCTATAAATGTGTGTAGGGAATTTCATTATGAATTTCACAATTTTGGAGAGACGAATTGAATTGTTTATTTCGCTAATTTTTACAAAAATTGTTTAGTTTGACTATATAAATTTCTAAAATCAATTATACTATATAATAATTCCTATAAATGTCCTTGAAAAATATAGGAATATGGTTTAATTGGAGATTCTTGCAATAATTTTGAGCAACTTTTTTCTTTGCAAAAATTTTTAGTAAAAAAAAGAAAAAAAATAAAATTAAATTGAAATTTATTAAAAATTAAAAAATGTCATTTGTAATTGTTTTGTTTTTTGAAATTAAATGATGAGTAACAGAATTAAATTTATTTAGTATATATTGTATTAAATTATATTTATATTTTTAATACTTTTTCAATTTTTATTCCATTATTTGTGATATATATATATATATATATATATATATATATATATATATATAATTTGTGATAATTAAAAGCGACGATTTTTTAATAAAATAAATTTGATAACAGATAGATTAAGAGTTCAAAAAATTTGCGATACAATGAAATTGATTACCATTTTTAAAAAATAATATTTATTATTAGTATTTTATATGGATGCTAACATTTACATAATCTAGGATTCGATATGATTTATTAATTAAACAATAAACATTTTTAATATTCAACTATTACCGTTTATATATTTCAATAGTAAATTCGTTAATAGTAAATAGTTAATTATAAAATATAAATCTTTGCGTTTCGAAGAGTCATGACATGATTCTTTTATCATTTTTATAAATTGATATATTTTTGATATTTATTTCCATATATTGAACATCATTAATATTTATTTAAAATTTAAAAAAAAAATTTTTTTAATTAATTAATCATAATTTAAATTTATAATTTTTTTTAATCAATTATTATTTTTTATTAATTACTTATTTATTCATTAAACTTTTTATTTTATATTTACTTTTTTTTTAAATAGTTTAACATGAAAAATTGGGAAAAATTATTAATAATAATAAATTGCAAAGAATTTATTTTATTGAAAGATTTTAATATATTAATAATATAAAATATATAAAACAAAATTATTTACTAATTATATAATATTATATCGAAAAAATTAACAAAAAAGTTTTAGAAGTTTTTTTAAATAAAATTTTGAACTTATGTTTATTACTCATTATAGTATAAATTATTGGCTAATGACTTGAAAGTTTATAATAATTATTTTAGATATATAATTTAATTTTAAATATTTACAAAATTTAAAACTAATTAAAAAGTTTATGCACATAAATATTTAAAAAATTGTTTACTATATTGGTTAGTTGATCATGATATTATCATTGCCGAGTATGCTATACACGACAAAATTAAACGAAAAAAGTTTTTTCGAAATTATTAAAAAATATTATTTTTTTTTATTCATTTTAATTATTCATTTTTCAATGGAACGGTTGAACAGACATAGAGATATATGAATCAAATTTGCAAATAGTAATGACTGTATGAGCACTATCAAGTAAATTAAATTAAATTAATTTCTATTTAATCACAACATATCATCTAAATTTTCATTTTATTGATTATATTATATTCGATTCAAATATTCAACAATGTTGATAAAACTTAATTTTTGTAAATATATTATTTTAATTCAAATTCAAATTTCTCAATAATATTGTTAGATTACTAAAATTTAAAGCATTTTATTTTGTATTTTATATTTTTCATAGTGACACTAATTATAAAATACAATATATATACAATTATACAATTGACAAATACAATTATAAGAAAACAGTTATATCAGTTAATCACGAACATATAGACAAAATTCAATGTATTATAAGTTTTTTATTAATATGTCGGAAACTAAATATAAAGCAAAAGTTTCAGATTTAGAATTTATTTTCTCCTTTCTTTTTCTCTCTCTAAAATTCTCTCTAAACTATAAAATTATAAAAGTATTAATTAAATTTAAATTTTCAAATATATCTATGAAATTATTGAATTGATTAAAATAGATTTTGGTAATTATCTAAAACAAAAGTTCCTCGTAAATTTTGGTAATTTTTAATAATTTTTAATCATTTTATATATATAATTATCTTTTAGTTTTCGAGATATTTATAAAAAAAGATTACTATTATTATATAGAATTTCTTTTGTAGATTTGTCGCTATGTGTATATAAATATGCAATTGCCATTTACCTATTTTTAAATATATCATGGATACGTTAAATATATGATTAATATATAAATAAATATACCAAATATAATATTAATATTCAACAATCATTATCATTTCAATTATCAGATCATTTTATATTTTTTTCATTCATGAATCCAAAGATCATAGAATGTCCAAGTTTGGGATTGAATTTGAGACATTTTAAGTTTATTATAATCTATAAGAAAATAAATTTTTGATTTACATTTTGATTAATTTATATTTATATAGTTATTTGCTACCGTTATATGTTTACATTAACAAAAGATAAGCGACGTAGACGTAGATGTATACGTATAAAAAAAATTCGATGAAATATAATAACAATCTTTTTTTGCAAATTTCTTAAAAATTAAACAGTTGTTATATACATAGAAAAAAATTATTCAAAATCTTGTCCTCTATAACGTATCTAAAAATCATTAAAATTAGTGAAAAAATTTCTTTTCTAAATAATTATCGTTATTTTATGTTTTATTTTTGCAAAGAATGCATTTGTAGAATATCCAAGCTTTCTATGGATAAGTATTATATAGTATGATAATTTCTATAGAATATGCTTGAAAATTATGCTTAATGTGAGATATTTCAATGAAAAAGTAGCTTTTCCATGTTCACCCATTATAATTAATATTAATTTCTATATTATTATATATATTTATATTATGCTTATGATTAAACGCTATCACGGATATATATTAATGAAATTTTATATAACTATCTTATTTTTAAAAAATATATTATGTATTTTCCCTTCCTTGTTTGATTTTTTATTTTAATGAAAAGAAAATGAAAGAATTTAAAAAGAAAAAATTTTGAAATAAAAAAAAAAAATAATTTTGAAATTGAAAAAAATTATTAAACTATATAATTATCTTCGAGAATTTTATTCGAGAATTTAGTTTATGTAATAATTTTAAAATATAAAACAAAGTTCTAATAAAAAAATAAAAGATCTATTTTCTATTTCCATGTTTTTTTTTACATAGGCCTATTAGTTTAGTTACAGCCTATTAACTTAGAGTTGATAGATTTATGTGACTAAGTTTAGAGCGTCATGCTCACTTTTTATTATCACAAAATATCGAGCAATGGAATAGAAAAAAAAAAGTGCATACTATATAATTCAAATATACTAAAATCAAAGTTCCAACTTAGGCAAGTCTCAAGCCAAATGTATCATCAATATCCTGATTACATAATAATAATCAGAACACTCAAGAGAGTGAAATTTAACAAATAATAATAAAATAAAATTGGATCCAGTCGGATCTCGGATCTCAAGACTTTAGATATAACGGGCAATTACGGAACAGAAATCAAACCCAGAATAAAAATGGCGACATAACAGATAACAGAAAGACAAACGTGAGAAAAAGCTAGAAAAATCCTAAAAAAACCAAATCAAACAACAACTTGATTATCCAATATATCCAAATTCTTCTTCTATCTAAAAGGAAAAAAAAATTCCATCCAATGTAAAGCAGAATATTCCAACTCTTTTACAATATTTAAATTTCACCACTAACAAAATATCAATGGGAAACACTCATAAGTAAAAAAATAAAAAGAATAACAAAGATCTTAGGAACAGTTTATCAATTTCAAAACACAAAATAAATTCGAGATATTCTCCAAAATTGACTCAAACATTGAATCAAGAATTAAGGAACAAGCACACCACAGGGATAGATTAATATAAAACAATCCTAAACCACATAAATCTAATACCTAATCATCCATTATAAGTAAAATATAGAGAGCCATATGACATCTATTAAAATCATTTGGAACATATTGATAACACGAGAATAAATTGTATTTCTATTAAAAAAAATTGATCAATCAGCCATTAATCCTACCAAAGAATTACATAACTATCAATAAATCAAAAATATTCTAGATATAGAAATATATATACACATTCCAAAAATATTCAAATCAAAAATATTTTTTCTTAAGAGAGTTAAAAGAAGCTGATGAAAATGATATTGCAGAAAACATGCAACAACTTAATCTATCAAATATACAAAGCAAATACTATTTTAATAAAGATTATCTTAATAAAGATTATCTTAATAAAAAAATCTTGTTTTTATCA